GTGAGTTAATGCACATATATAGTCGTACCCTGCCCCCCTTCCCCCTCAATCTATTGAGTTAACGCAGTGACCCCCTCTTTCTCCCCCTCCTATAGTGAGTTAATGCTCTCGTGTAGTCCCTTCTCTTTTGGCTTTTCTTAGTGTTACCAGCATATGGCTGGTTTTATTCCACTTTAAACAAAACAAAAGAAATTATTAAACTGTCTGTTTATTTTCAACAAACACTGTGATGCTTAGTTTTTCCTCCTTTGCCACCAGATCCTGGGGATAAAACATCTGTGGGGGGGGTGTTTGAGCAGCAGTGCCATTCTGCTGAGGTTTATACAGAAGGGTCCCCCTACAAGGCTGTATTGTGACACTGACGCATCTAAAACAGAACCTGCTGTGTAAAGGATTTTTTATTATTTTCTAACCCCATTTATATTCTGTTCGAAAACTGATCTGAAAACGTATTAAAAACATTCCCTGGATGTTGGAGAAGCCTGCTCCCGTGGATCCCTGAAGTTAATTTTTGATTGCCTATTTTCTTCCTCTTTCTGTGTGTAACAAATCAAACTCTTCTTTTCCGTTTTTTGAGAACTGTAAAATTGTAAAACATTTTTCGAGTGTAACAGTAAATCTGTCTTTTGGAGAGCGGTTGGTCGATGTTGTCCGTTAACGTGAAGCCACTTCAGTCCGCTGCCGCTGGCTTTGGAGACTTGACCACAGAACTTTATTTGGTACTTTTATGTCTCCTTTTCAACCCCAAAACTCTTCTTATATCCGTCACTGACACAGTTCCACTCGCTGCTGAATGGTCTGATCTGCCGACGAGATGCAAGCTGTCATTTATCACCGTGTAAATGTACCGCGACCATCGAGGGGGTGGGAGGGTAACAGTCTGTGGATCGACAAATTCCTGCTTCCTCATTTCCGAAATAGAAATAACAGTTGGGCATTGTTCCTCTAAAGGGATAAGATAAGAGCATCAGCTAACTGCCTGACAAATAAAAGTTGCCTTGCAAAACCATTAAAAGCATTCAGATGTAGTGCTACAGAACCGCCTAAAAAAAAAACTATCATTAAAATGGCAAGATAATTCTATTTTAAACAAGCTCAAACAATATAATAAAGTTATTAAAAATGTAGTTACAATTCAATATATGAATAGTTGTTGGATTTATGAAAAGGCAGCGGGAAAAATAAAAGTATTCAGCCTTTCTTTTAAAGAGGTGAGTTTTGGGGTTATTTGATCCAGATATATGGAGCAGAATGACTAAATGCTACTTGGATTACTAACTACGAAAGCTGTAACCCGATCCAGAGCAACGGTTCCTCCGATAAAAATGAATGAGGCAACAGCGTTTTCTCTTAGCACAGTTAAGAATCCTAAATATGAGCAGCAGTTAGCGATTGTTCTTCTAAAGGTATCAAGATCAGAGTATCAGCTAACTGCTTAAAAACATTAATGTAGTCTAGCGTTAATGAGGGCTGTGGCGCGGTAGTTGAGTGTGCCGATCATCAGACCAGGGAAGCACCAGTTCAATCCCACCTCGGTCGCTGCTGCAGTCAGCATGCGGCCGTGTTGCTCCTTTGGGTATTCCGCCAGTATTACATGTCTAATTATGTAATGTAAAGCACTTTGAGAATTTGGAAAAGCGCTAAAATAAATATACATTTTTATTATTACAGCTGCTTTCTTGAGCTTGAATAAACAGGCAAAACAAATGTAATCTCGGAGTTGGAAGTTTGATTAAGAGACAATGGTGTAACCAAATCCAACAATGTGATTCTTTAAAAAACTAAATAAATGAAGCGTGGGTTTCCCTCGCCGCAGTTTGAGTTCACGCAGGTATGTTTGTTAAGGAGCCACATGTCCTGGCAGCCGATCAGTCAATCATCTGTGAGTGGAGAGAGCCTGTCGTCGGATTGGTTAAACTCTTCAGGCGGGAAGTCATAAGCATGCGTATGTGTCCATGTTGCCTTTTTTTAGATTAAACTCCGAAAAGTGCTCAATCGGCAGTTGACGGTACATGTTCTGGATCTGATCTTATACAATTGTGTTGATTGACTGTTAAAGTTTCTCTTGTTTAAATGGCGAGATACTGCACGTGTTCAAAAGCGGTTAAAACTTTGAGAAACATCGGATTTTGGAAAAGCAAAAGCCCATCTTGTTCTTTAAATCTATATTTTCTCCACTCAGTGTCACAATAACCTTGTCACTAACCATCTCGACATTCCACTCTTTAGGTGTAGAAAAGTCATGTCTCAATGTTTTATTTTCCTTTGCTGGGGACAAATGTTTTCATGCACTGAAGTTTAAAAGGTTAAAAAAGAATTCCTCCCTGCCGCTCTTTTTCTCGTTAGCTGAACAAAAAGGCAGTTATTCTACGCTTTCTAAGGAAAAAATGATCCCATGCAGTAGTGAATGTGGCACCGAGCCTGTCTGTATATCTGGTATCTCAAATCATTTTGTTTTTACTGACCAGTATTATGCTTAAAATAAAAAGGAGAAAAAAAATAACCCAAAAAAACAACAAAAAGTTTGCTTCTGTGACGGTTTTATTGTTTAGCGCGCACATGGTTGTGAACATTTAGACTTAGCTTAAGGACACCCTCCAAAAAAAAAAAATTACACCACAAAAATCTGTTCAACGCCTCCCACCCCGGTTATTGAAGTAATACTAGATTTGTGTGTCTTAAAAAAAAACAAAAAAAAAACAGCTCTAGTTTCACCTTACATGTTATAAACAGGACAAAATGTAAAAGACAATTTAAAGTGAAATAAAGGTTTTATCAGTTCCGAATCAGCCCCGCTCTGTTTATTACCACTATAATGTGTTTTAACTTCTACTGAGGTTCACTGGTTCTAAGATGCACAGCATGTGGGAAGTGTGTCTGGAAGGAACAGGAAATGCTTTAAATCACTGTCCATGGATTCACTGGATTCGGGTTTTCCCGAGAAGTGCAAGTATTTAACAACAGGAAGGCTGCCGAGTTCTTCTTGATAATCTCTGTTTTCAAATCAGCAGTATTAAAATGTAGCAAGATGCTAACTTTTATCCTCATTTGGTTTCAGCAGAATACATGCAGATACCCTCATATTCAGATAAACACTCCTTGAAGGGTTAGAAAAACTCTGCTTTGTTGTATTTTATTTTCCTCCAGAAATGGATATTAATTGTTTGCTTAAACGTAATTTAAACATCTCCCAAAGTAGAAATCTGAAGTGAGAGAAGACGAGAAACATTTCGTTTGGTTGAAGCATCCTGAATTAAATCCAAATATTACCAAAGCGGCTGTTTTTTTTACTGAAGCCGGAGGGAGGGACATGCTAAAGACCTCTATGACTAATCTAAATCAGAACACAGACAGTCTGACTGAAGACACACTGTAATAGTGCCTTCCTTATTTAAACAGTTTTCTAGCTTCCCTCCTTCCCTTTGTTAGAAGCAGATCTGTGAGTCATGTCTGGTTCACGGCCAACACAAACCTCTCCTGAGGAGGGAAACGTTGAAATATTTAAAGTGAAAAGTGTAACCCTCCTGTTATCGCCAGATTTACTTTACACCCTGTATCCTCTGGGGTCAATTTGACCCCATTAGTTTAAACCTCAAGACAATGATTATCATAATCCAATTTTAACCAAAATGTATGTCACTGGTGCTTTAAGTATCTTAGTTGACTACCTAAATAACCATTTAAATAAAACGTTACCCCAACCTCCCCCCCCACAGACCCCTTATAGATATCCAGAATGTGACTATTGAAAAATGTATAAATCACCATAAAATCTCACTGACTGAAATAAAATGTTAAAGTAAGATATTTTTGATGTTGTTAAAGGACCAATAACTTGTTAAAGGACCAATAACTACAATGATACATTTGCATGTAATAGTCACCTCAATATCATCCTACACAATCAACACAAATATGTGTAAAATGTTGACATTTGTATATGTTTGATACTACTAAAACAGCCTGGGGTCAAATTGATCCCAGGGAACACTGATGCGTACAAAGTGCGTACAGGACATTTAAAAAAGATCTTCATGTTCATTTTATGTTTACCCATTAGCCCTTACTAAATTAGGAAAAGTCATGAAGTACTAAGCAAAATAAATAACGTGAAACATTTTTTTTCAAATTTACCGCAAGGATAACAGGAGGGTTAAGTTATTAACACAAATCTAGTAAACATACTCATAAAGTCCATAAGATTAACCATAAAAAGAGTAAAACACATAACAGTTGTTTTTTACGCTAACCTAACGCTATAGTGTTGGTTAGGCTACACATTTCAATCAGAAAGCTTCTATAATAAACAGCTTAGAATACTAATAAAACAAAAACTGAATAAAAGGACACCTACACATAACTCACCACATGGACATTTAGAAAGCTAACATTTGTTTTAGAAAAAACGTTTTGGTTTTGTTTTCGATATCACTCCCTGGTTCCTTTGTTACTTCAGTTAATGACCTTAATAAATATTCCAACCCAGCGATTCGGCACTTTTGACGGAGCGGAATTTTCAAACATCACTGAAGCCAAAATAATTATAAAAGGGGCTGTTATTTGCTTTCTGAAAGATCCAACTAAAAAATACCAGGCATGGAAATACCCATTTTTTTTAAAGACAGGTATTTGGCTAGTGACAGACAAATACGGTAAACTCAGAAACTATGTCAAAGGAATGCTGAATGATGCCTGAAACAACATGCAGCCATGAGAGACAGGGGAAGTACATCCCCTGGTGCCATGACCTTCGTAAAAGCTTCAGCATCCATCACAGAATTTAAGTATTAGGCCATGAACGATCGCCATTATCTGCAGCATGTTGTTGCTGGACATGGAACAGTAAAGTCTTGTCAGTAAGAACAGAAACACGTAATATGTTGATGCACTCAAAGACAGAAGACATTTTTTGTAACTATTTATTTGAATCATACTTCAGAGATTTTAGTTTTTTTAATCAGAAAAAGCAGAACCTTTTTTGAGTTTTCATTAGAGATATCTCACACAACAGACAAAGCTTTTATGCTTCATGAAATATAATCAGAATCAGAAACAGGTTTATTGCCAAGTAGGAATTTGCCTTGGTGTACATGGTGCATACATAAAAAAAATAGAATATGTAATAGAAACATGCTTAAAAAAAAAAACTACGTGCAATATACAAATGCTAAGTAATAATGACGTATAAATAATATCGGTCAACTATTGAAACTAAAGTAATTAGTTCAATGGATTTTCTAAGAATGGACCAAATGTTGTTATTTGTTCTATCCTTATAGGGTTATCACCAATAACTATGGGCAAAATGACACTTAAGGGAATTCAAACAAGTGTCTATGAATCAGACCCTATGGATTAAGTCCTGTCACATGAAAAAAGGGGGGTAATAAGCGAATTCAATTCTAAAGAGTTGACTTTGACTAAATGTGTAACATGTCCACCCTCTCACATGTATAAAAAAAGACAAAAACATATTAAGTAGTAATTGTGTTGTTGTGCGTCACCTCACAATGTGTTAATTTGTCAGTAAGACAACTGCATTTCCTTGAACAGTGATCTCACCTGCAGGAGTGGGCCAGGCAGGCAGGACATCTGTACTTCGCCTCCTCTGATCCACACACTCCACATCTGCAGACAAACAACATGTCAGCAGAGGCACACACATGTGCGGGCAGTTTTACAGGTGAATTGTAACAAAAAGGGCGGGCAACAAAGAGAAAATAACAACCCACCTTTAAGGAAACCAGAAAAACATACAAACATCATTTGGAAGTAATGACAGTCAGTCATTAAAGTGAGGGCGTAATAACTCCTAGAAAAAGAGGAGTGTGCTAACGTTGTTACTAACGTTAGCTAAATAGCACATACAGTGTTTTATTGTTATTGGTATATGCTCCTATTCATATACGTATCATTTATACAATGGTGAGAACGAACACACATTAAAACCATCATGAAGCTGTGTGCTAGCTGAAGTTTTATAATGACTTCCTGTCTGTTAAAGCACTTACTTGCAGAGAGATATCTTTCTTTTGCTCGCTTTCAGCTCTTCTTCTTTGTCGCTGTTTTCCACCTGGCTGTCCATGGTTGACATTATGTCTGTTGCTGGGACTTTTACAGAGCACATGAGAGAAGTGTAGCCGCACGTTGGACACAGCTCCGCGGCTTCAAAACAAACTGTCTTCCGCCGGGGGCCAGCGGCAGCACGTGGAGGGGAGTTCCGGTTAGAGAGAGACCAGCTCAGTGGCGCCTCCCGCTGTTAGTGGGGGAGAACTATACCTTCATGTTTTTTTATGACCACCATGTAACTGCAAGTGTTTATGATTTCAACAATACTTGGTGTTTTTTCCAAGTTTAGTTCCTCACCTCAAATACTGTATGCATATAGAGGATGAGTTTATTGGGGTTGGAGTCATTGCAGATTTATATCTGTATAAGGAATGTGCAAGTGTGAGAGAGATTATTTGCACAAACCACATTTGATCAGCGGTTTCACTGAGTTACATGCATCTAAATATGTTCCAGTTTAGATAGAAAACCTATGCTAAAGGGATTGCCATAAGAGGCATGTAAGTATATACAATGTACAATTAACATAACACTGTGTTGATCATCTTTCCCCAATATATATAATATAAAATAAAATACACTTATCTAAAATTCAAGAGCATTTGAGGATATTTTACAAGTCCAAGCATTTCAAAAACACTACAAAACCATTTGTGGATAAAATGCTCCATTTATTTATTTTGACAACATATTTATTATTTACACATTTGCATCCACCTTTATCCTGCACAAACTTTATATAATTACACTTTGTTCAAGGTAACATAACTTAATATGATGAATGGGTTTTTGTGTAATTGGACTCTGGCTCTATGTAGCTGCCAGTGAACCTAACCAACCACCACTGACTAAACCAGAATGACAGTATGATAAACATAAAGTCACAGGCGTGAACACACAAACACACCGTTAACACATAAATACTTTTTTAGACTGAGTTGTGATGGACCAAATAGTTCTCTGAGAGTATAACTTACTGTGGTACAGTAATGTGAACACAAACAAAAAAGGATATAAATAAACATACAGTATGCTGTCCATATATACACAGGAAATGTAAAACTCACTGATGAATCATTCTTTTTTGCAGCACCAATGATAGGTTTCCCCTGAAGAACTTACCACTTAAAAGGAAAGGCTACAATAAAATGTAGTGTATCAAAAAATGGTTCATAAATTAGAAATGACCAAATGAACATAAGTACTTAGACAAAAAAACAAATCTTGATGTAACCGGTACATACAACACAAAGGCAAAAAAAAAACACTAATTTGGTATTAGCAACTATCTAGAAAGCAATTGACCAAGTAGAGGTAGAGCACCATCTGTCAAGATGTACGGGTCATACTGGGCAGGACCGCAGGAAGTCAAATCAATGTATCATATAGCCTTTGATAGGAAAGTGAAATATCAAGCAGTCACACATTATGCACATGCTATTGCACTCAAAAACTGTGGATAGACAGTGCTCCTATGTAGAGGCCTGGCACGCTCCTTTGGGTTAGGCCTCTGCTGTGGATGTCTGGGTGCGCTTGGGCGTGAGGGAGGGGTGTGATTTTTGAGGTTAGAATAGGCTGCTGCTAAGTGAGACCCTGGCCTGTGATCAGGGAGTGATGTCTGTACAGCCAACCTAAGCACCGTTTGACTAATTATCAATGAAAAACATACTTTTGTACATACAATTTATGATAAATATTGGTATACACCTCTCCTTTGGCCTTCTTGGCCCGGATGTTCCGGAGAGATTGAGTTCTTCCATGTAAGCGTGCTTTTGATTGTACATGGGGCGGTTGTTGCTCGCATAGCGGATTCCAACACTCTGTCAGAGACACTTGCTCTTTGGCAGGCAGCTTTTGCAACAGCCTTGCATTTTAATAGTTCATGTAATTTGTTACAGGACAGTGATGTTGGGGTCAAAGGAAGCAGACCGGGCCGATTTCTATACGTCGCTGACTAGTGGGCTGTGATGTGGGAAATTCCTGTATGTTCACAATCGGAAGCTGACGACTGTCCTGAGAATGGAAGAAGAAACGTGACTGGTGCCAGCTGCCATCTTGGATCTGAAGAAGGATGCGTAGAGGAGACAATACAAAGTGATTCATCTTAAATTTGATAGAATATATTTTAATAAGTATTTCATAATATTGCAAAAACATTTCTCTGTCATGATCATTACCTTGCACTCGTCTTGCAGCACATGTGGTTCAAGTAGTGTGTCTTTCTCAAACATCTGTTTGTTCCAGCCCTGAAACCGTAGGGGGCCGTTTTCTTGTTGTGAGGGTCCGGTGGAGCTGAGGATGCCGGTGGTGCCGTAGGGAGGGTCGTTCAGGCAGTGGAGCATGATGCTGTGACTGGCTTCAGTGCTCAGTAAGTGGAGGAACTTCATTTGGACTTTCCCTACCCCAAACACCATCTGTGGTTGAGAAAAGTTGGACACAACATCCAACAAAGTCAAGCTTAAGGACGAGCCAAGGGTTTTTGCAGTTAAGTTAATAAATTAATCTGAATGAATCCCATTGTTGTGTATTGGTGCTAGGTTTCCATCCAAATTAATCGCACATTTTAACTGAATGAAGAAAATTTGAAAAACTAAATGTGAATTAAAGCATGTTAAGATTACTTTTATTCAACCAATAATAGTGTTTCTTTGAGGTAAAAAGAGGTATAGCAGGCATTTCATTTTTTCTAGTCACTGCGGACGAGATGATGTAATTTAAATTCAAAATGTGCATTAAGGAAGTAGACGAGAAAACACTTAATTGAAGTTCAAACAATCAACTGACATGGATGGGAACGGTTTACACTAAGCATTAAAACAGTCCTTTGTTTTATCTAGTACCTTGACATATTCATGTTCATCTTTGTTCCACTTTAATGTTACCTTATCAGAAGCCACTGGATGTACACAGGTCTGCCCTCCTGCGGTAAAGTTGCAGAAGACCTTGAAGGCATCAGAGGTACAGCCCAGGTTTGGATCAATCCAGAACCAACCTAACAGTTGGCGAAGAGAGGACAGACGGAGACAGGAAATGCAAGACAGGAATTTTATTAATAAAAAACGCATATGCCCAAAATCCTATCATCCATCCCCTCAGTATCATGTAGATGAGACTCACCATCTTTCAGCTTGTGATCACACTCGATCAGATCTTTACAGACACGAGCCGGGTTCTCCCTTGTGCCCAGAGGCGTTTTGATGCTCTCAATCACGCTGCTAAGGTAGTGTAAAGTCTTAAGGATCTCTGTATTCTGCTCTGGAAGGCTCATCTCTGTGTTCTGGTAACTCTGGTAGAGAACGGAAAAGACAGCGTTTGAGACTCCAACGATCAATATTACACTTACAATACCAACAAAAAGTAATTGGTATGTCCTCGCAATAAGGAATCCAGCCATTCACCCCCTCAACTGCCCGAGTGCATTAGTGCCTTACCTGTGTCCCCAGGGCAGCATTTGACTCAGATAGACCATAGATTGCTGAGTCGACATACATCTGCCTCTGTGGATTTAAAGTCAACAGTTATAAAAGTTGAATAGAATAAGAATACACCCTAATACCAAAGTAACGCAGTAAAATAAGTCTTGCATCAAAAAGTCCCTGACATTCCTTTCTTAAGTAGGGGGAAGAATAACACATTATTCCCAGCATAAACACTACGGATATCACATAAGGTGTATAAACAAAAAGAAAGATGTGTAGTTGTTTTTCTCGGTTCTTGTGTTTTTCTCGGTTCTTGTGTTGTTTTTCTGGGGAATTGTTCCAACAGGAAAAGGTCATTCAGATAGCAGAAAGCTTTATAATCCAGAAATTCTGACGGATAGGAAACATGAATAGGATTTTTATCAGTGCCAGAAAAGGCTAAGCATTGATGACTGCCATCATCATTATATCATTGATATTTTTAAATCACTCCATAAGAGCTGGACAATTTTCCCTGCAACTCTATGATCCAAACCTTATGTCTTTCACATGAAACTAAAAACAAGTATCCAGACTTCTAGCTGATCCTAACTACCTGTCTAAATGAGTGACACACAACACTTACTGTTGGACCAGGAGCCCCAGGGGGTCCCTAAGGTAGGAAGAAAGAAGACAAGATGAGTGACACAGTGAAAAATGAGCCCAATGTGGTTGGTGTCAGATCACATTCTGTTAAAACATGTCTTTTACATAATGTAAGAGATAATGTACCACAAGATGAACCTTAGTGCTTTATAATTAGACATATATAGAGTATGTGAACTGTCGTAGAAAGCTGAAAAGTGGTAGTAAGGTTAACTTACACTTGGTCCTGGACCTCCCTGTGGTCCTTGTGGCCCCTGAAAATGTGAGAAAGAAAATGAGTGTTAACATGATGTAATAATAATGTATTCAGTTTATCCTGTTGGCTCTGTTCACCTGTGAAAACACCTTGCATTTATACCACATTAACATGTGAGAGCTTTAGTGCAAACACATCGAGCAGAATGGGACCTAATTAACTTCTGGGAGTGATGATTCATTTTCTCCTTTGACCATGTGTCTATCCAGAATGAACAAAATTGAATTCCTCCAAAATGCATTGAAGCAATTTTCAATTAGTAATGGTTGGGGCATTTTATGAAACATGCGGTTTCTGGTAATTCATATCCATAAATGTGAAAGCATGAACATGTGCAACATCATCAGTTTTTGAGAAAAGGCTAGAATGAAGGGGCCATTGTGTCCACAGTCTGTTTCTGTGTGATAGTGTACATTTCAGAGGGATTTAGGGTAAACCGAAAATCTTACTACAGTTTACATTACAGAGTGGGAACAGGGATATACAGTAGGAGTGAATATGTGGATTGCACTGTGGTTAGCCATGCTAATATTTTGACAAGGCATTTCCTCAACAGTGTTTACACAAGAGGGTCTGAGAGTTCTCTAAGGCCCCACAGCGAGACTGAACACAGCTACTTTTATTTTGACAAAAGTATACAGATCTGCAGTCACTTAAGGACAGTCACATAAAGACAACAACAGATGAACCCCAGCTAGCTTTCATGCATCTTAAAACACAGCCTTTGTCATGTACAGTTGGTATTTTATACACCCTCAATCTGCTGTGAAGAGGCGTAATGATAACCGGCCCAGTGAAGTTTTCTCAGTCTGACTCAAAGTAGAATCATGATGTAATTACACGGAATATAAGCATACTGTATAATCACACATTGAAAACCATTATCATATAATCAGTCTGACAGACTTTTTTAAGGTTTGGTTATGGTCTGAAACAGATCTTACCATTTCACCACCGTTTCCTTTTGGACCCCTTGGCCCCTACGGAGGAAATATACGTAACGACATTAACATTTACTCAGTAGCATTGTGTCCAAAACTGTTCTCATAAAGTTGAATAAGCACATGGCAAAACATCTCTGACTTCTATAGTTTCAAAATCATTCTCAGTTTTTACTGAATTTGCTGACCATTGCCTTGCAACACACACACACACACACACACACACACACACACACACACACACACACACACACACACACACACACACACACACACACACACACACACACACACACACACACACACACACACACACACACACACACACACACGGGTTTATGTCTGATACTACAGTAGCCTCAGCCCACTAACACACACCCCTCTGTGGGGTTTGATGTCTGTACCCTATTCTGTGTATGAGCACTGTCTGAGTTCCAGGGTGGCATACACTATGTTTGTACAGTCAGTCATCCATATCCTCGTCAGCACTGCTTTCGGGCCAGCAACTTCATCGAGAAACTCTATTCAGTGAAAAGTGTAAAGCGATCGGACCCAAGGGACTGAGTCTGCTCTCTGTTTCACGAGCATCAACGGAGAAATCTATTGAGGGTGGGGAGGGCAGGGGATCCAATGTTGTTTCTTTTCTCTTCATTTTTGAGGAGTTACATAACAAAAGTGGAGCACCTCTCTTTCAGGTCTCTGGAGGCTGAGGATCTTACACAAGTTGGGCTTACCACTCGGAATGTTTCCATTCCTGGTCTCACCCGGATAAGTTGCTTCTGCACTCGGTGGAAAAGAGTCATGCACAAAGGCAACCTAACCCCCTGAAGCTATATTTAGAGAGCTAGAACGTAGAGTATATAAGCTTATAAAACCCAAGGGATGGTATCAATTTAACACAAGGAATGTAGTAACCTGTGTGAAAGACCTGCTGTTTTGTGAAACATTAAAAGTGAAATGTATCAATCTGATATCAAGGGTAGAACGAGGAACAGGTTTCACATAAGACATTCACACCGAAAGGATAATTTTTCACAGTTTTAGTGTAAATACCATAGTTAACTTATACTTGAATATTTAAATGTTGCTAAATGACAGTTTAGTTAATATGTAAATGCTCATTATAAATCTAATATAGATTTGTGTGCCTTTTAAAAAGAACTTGCCACAATATGTATTTCACTATACTTGTTATTCAATAACTCCAAGCTATTTTAGGTTGTTTTCTTCGCTTAAATACGTAATGCTTGTATATACTCACAGGTTGTCCTTTGGGTCCTAGGTCACCTGTCCTGCCCTGGTCCCCTGAAGACCCCTCCATGCCTTTGATTCCCGCTGCTCCCCGATCCCCCAGCAGTCCAAGTTCTCCCTGAACCAACGAAGAGCAGGAATTTAAAAAATAGTTTATACAACCAGATTTCTTTACAATTATGTTAATATTTATAATTTTTTCACCTTCTGTCCAGGGGGTCCTCTTTCTCCAGGTAGACCAGGAAGTCCAATCTCTCCCCTGGGACCTGGACGTCCAGCAGGTCCCTCTTGTCCATCCACGTTTTTCAGACCCTGGATGCATACCGAAGTTGGTGTCAATTAAATATTATCTTTGTAGAATTCAGAGTAGAATTTACAATTTTTTTTTAAATATCATATTTAGATATTCTAAAAATCTGCATTGTTTGGATCCATGTTTACAGCTAGCGTTCCAATCTTCCTGGTCGTTATGGCTTAGTTTCTCAGTACAGCAGCAGAATATCACAAAACCATCAGCATTGTGTGTTTGAGTGACCCTGTACACAAGATACAAGCAAAAAAGCTGTCACTGTGGTCCTGCCTGACTCATCATACTACTTCCCTGATGGCTCCCACAGGATTGTTGACATCCTTGTGGATTCATCTTCTTATTATAGACACATGTTTTTCCAAACATTTGGTCTACCTATGTTGTAAATGTATTATCTCTTCGATTTACACACGGCATCTATTGCACGTCTGTTATTCCTGGGAGAGGGATCCCTCCTCTGTTGCTCTCCCTGAGGTTTCTCCCATTTTTCCCTTTAATCTGTGGGGTTTTCTCTAGAAGTTTGTCCTTGTACGATGTGAGGGTCTAAGGACAGAGGGTGTTGTATTGTCATACTGATATTCTGTACAAACTGTGAAGTCCACTGAGACAAATGTAACATTTGTGATATTGGGCTATATAAATAAACATTGATTGATTGATTGAAAAGCATTGCACTAATCAAGATATTGCTCCATAGTTTTGATACCTTAAAAGTTCAACAGTCAAAGTCTTGCCAAGACTCATGAATGTGGTTAACAAAACAACCAACACATAAATATATGAGGAGGATAGCACTCAAACATTGCTCCTAAAGATGGGGAGATGAAGCAGGGGAAGAAAGGTATCTCCCTGAATCCTGAACAGTGAAGCCAACTGAAACTTCCTCTGGTCCTTCAGTGGAACCAACCGCAGGACCAGAACACATCAACAGGCTCTTAAACCTAATCTCCCCATTTTAAACAGCTTACACCCTACTTTTTGAGGTTGGAGCTTAAATACACCAACAGGGAAAAGTTCTATATATTTAGTGGAAGACTATGGCAAACAAAGGCTAAAAGAAAAGTGGACAAAGCTGTGTTATATAATAAAAAAATGGAATGAAATTATGTTCAATGTTTATTTAAATATATTCAAACTAATTCAAAACGCATCGTACAGTCATAGCTATAAACCGTGGTGCTGAGGTCTGCTGGCCCGTCCTGGTTTACTTATTGACATCGTGCTCCTTAAGTGTATCCATAAGACTGGCCGCCTGTCACTGAGTGCTCTCTCACACCTCAGAGCTCGGTAGTTTCCTGCTCCATCAGCAGAGTGCTGAGGCAGAAGGGAGCGAGTGATATTACAATAACAGATTGAGTGGGTCGTTGCCTCACAAGTGGTGTGGCTTCTGTTCCTCCATCAATGTTAGGAGAGCAGATACTTCAGGAACCAGGTTTACTGGGTGAAGTCCAAACCTGCAGGTGCTGGAAAGCTCTTCCATAAGTAAAATCAGACACATCTAAATCAACCAAGCAGTTCAGGCGTTCTTAATCCTCTTCATGCGCGCTAAACATGTGAGACTGTGTTTTTGAGGCTTGTTGATACAAATCAGTGACCATCAGAGTGTCCTGATGAAGTCACACCTACGTGAATCTTCTACTAAATGGCTATCCCAAGAGAGACTCCAGCACCTGACCTGCTCAGTACAGGTTGTCCTGTACTGCATTCATTTCTTGTTGCTCACTGTGAACATGCATCCAGCTGGAAATGTGAATAGAACAAAACATTCAGCAGATAATGAGGAAAGAAAAGAACACAATGGTTATGATGACTAACAACAACAAAGAGGATTCTGCTGAGACTCTGCAGCCTGCCAGCAGCAGGAAGGAAAGCCTAATTACGGTATATTTCTCACTATGGAAATACGTATTGTGAAATTGAAAGCAAAGGATCCAGTGGACCTCTCCTGCTGTGACAGCCTCCACAGAGCAGTGGAGATTAAACTCATGTTGTTAATAGAAGCAAGATGAGCATGTATCAATAGCTTTGTATATTCTCCTGTCTCCCCACAAGTCTGCTACAGAGATTTGGCCGAGAGTAATGTGAAGGGAAAGTCCTCTTAGATGAAATACAATGAAATCATCTGACTCCTTCTGCGACTTACATCAATGTTACTGAGCAAGATGTTTTGATAAATAGCAATATAAAACCGGGTTCTTGTGTACATGAGTTTTAGTCCAATAGTCAGCTTCATCATTTTGAAAAGAAAAAGAGAAGCCATTCATTTAACCATGACTGCCTTTATGACTGACTTAACTGACTATATACTGTAAATGCTCCCATCAATTACCTTTCGTCCTTTTTTTCCTGGAAATCCTGGTAGGCCAGTCAGTCCTGGGGAACCATCCGACCCTGGGTAACCCATCATTCCTGTGAGTCCAGGTAAACCGATTGGCCCCTGGAAATTATACAAAACAGTAAAAATGTGTTACTATCTCAGACAATGCTTCCAGGTTTCAACATCCTAATTCTCTCTCTAAAATCACCACTGTGGATAAAGAGATTAATTGCAGCAGACTTCAGCCAAAGGTTTTCTGCCAGGACTAAATTAAAGATCCATAACGTTTTTGGCAAACGCCCATTCATCATATTAACTTCTAATCGAGAACAGCAAGGCATTTAAGTTACATGATAATTTTCTCTTCATTGCTTTCTCTGTCCTCTTTATATGCAGTAGTGGTAACCAATTTGTAAACATGCAATACTTTGGTGATGCTGTTCCCATATGCCAAGCTGCATTATCATGGTCAAAAAGCTCAAACAGTTGATAGTGCTTTTGATTGTTATGCTGCTGTCACTCTCTGAACCATGCATTTGGTTGAGGTGATGTGCCACTCACTTCCATGCCAGGAGTTCCAGTCAGCCCTCTTGCTCCAAATTTTCCAGCCAAGCCCTGGATTAAAACAGACACATTAAGAATGAACCATAAATGGGTATTCACAAAACACAGTTATGTAAATCACTCGCCTCATGTGTCTTGTGGAGAACCGTTTCTGTACTTTCCTAATAATAATATATTGCTACTCCTGGTAAGCTGAGTTTATTTGTTCGCCCTTACTAAAAGTGGCAGTAGAAACATGTTGATGCTGAAGCCGTCTGTCATTTTTGCAGGGAAGTAACCATATTTAAAAATGAACTTTTATGCATGTATTGTCTTTCCTGCTATGGGGATTTACAGGGACTCACCGGGGCTCCTATCTCTCCTTTTGGACCTGCTTCTCCAGGGATGCCTGCGGACCCCTGAACAAAGACAAACACACAAACAAACAATAATATTTATAAATATATAAATCCATACTCAAAAGTGTCTGGTATGGTGATTCAAATGGATGTACCAAAAATATTAAAGAGCGTATATACAGTACTATTATGATATACTACAGATACTACAATAGAGAAATGTAATGACTTACCGGAGGGCCTTGTGGTCCAACAGCCCCATAAAGTCCAGTGGTTCCAACATGGCCCTGGAAAACATTTAAAAAATATAACTATATTTTTCAATCTGATTCTAAATCTTGATGAGTTCTGAGGTTACCATAATTTACTAAATTCACAATTCCATATTCGTGTGTCCATCGGGTGTCAATTTCGGGACAGTGTGACGCGGGCTCACAGGAATATACCAGAGGACTGCACTCAGAACAGTTACACTAAAATTGGACCCAATATTCAGCAAGAAAATTTGTGTCTCCGGGGTTAGCGACTGTTGCTAAATTCGCCAAGTGCTGCAAATGCTAGCTAGCCATGCTGGGAGATCAGATAAGTGGGGAAGTTAGGGTTTACACTGTGGGCAAAGGTCAAGGTCACCTCTGAGAGGAAAAGGTTTTCAGGTAGGGTTTCATTATGTAGCTTTAATGAGTCTTAGAAACAATTAATTGAAAGTACCACTTTCATCTAGCATAGAAGTAAGATACTTAAATAAAACTCTATATTATGGAAATGTTTTCAAATGTTTTGATTATACCAATTTAAAAAAGGACGACTGGAGGCAACATTTAGGCTTAGAAACCAGTAGGGAAAAGAATAACAATGATAATGCATCAAAACTATTGATTGTAACCGTCAGTGAAATTAAACAATGTTTGTGTTTAAAATCCGTCATGTACAGACCACATTTGTAGATCCATTCACAGACTAATGAAAACACCAACCTTTCAAAATAACGTATGTTCCTCAGAGGCATCAAGTGACAAAAAGACAGACTTCATGCAGCATTATTTCTGGAATTGTGGTTATCCTCTTCAACATGTATTGTGTACGCTCACTGTACCTGAGCAGTGTGGTAATGAATGGAGCCAAAAGAGTATGAACAACAATCTGTGTTATATGTTTAATGTTTTTTTAATGGTTTTGTATACCTGATATCCTTCATCCCCAGGCTCTCCACGCTCCCCTCGTTCTCCTGGGGGCCCCTGTGTAGACACAGATGCTCACACATGAACACACATACTGTACATGCATACCTTCATTTATACCCACAAAGCGTCAATTGAGCTGGCCAACTACTTATAGACAGAGTCACCTCTCAGCATATTGTATAGATGTGACCTGTGCAACGGATCTTAACTGGAGTCAAATGGAAAGGCGCAATTTCACCCTGATCCTTATTTCCAGCCAATTTTGGTTGGGGCTGCAGCAAGACACAGACTGCCATTGTGTTGCTCTAGCTATGAACTCTAATACTGTGCCAACTTGATAATCCAGTACTACTCATATGGTAGGTTGCTATCTATACCTTCCAGTAACCCTGACAGTTAATGCAATATGGGCCTGTGTTAGTGGCCTAGTCAAGTGCTGATAAATGTGTCTCAGCATGCATGAGAGTAATGGTATAACTTTGAGCTTTCCCGCCGGTGCTAAGACTCTTTGATCAGTCCTGATCCTCTTTTGGTATTAACAGCTTTGTTTTCTCTTCTATAAAATCCTTTGGGGTAAATTAAGGTGAGCCATGGCCATCATCAAACTCGATAAACAAACAACAAATGCACAGCCATTTTCAGTTTTTACATTAGAACATTTGTGTTCAGTGTGATTTTCATTATGGGCAAATATTGGAACACAAACCCAGCTAGGCAAACTGTAGCCAAACATTTCCAGCTTGTTCATACTAATGAGCAAAGAAGATCCTTGCCACACAGGTTGATAATGTGGGTACATATGCAGGTTTAACAACAGAAAGACTTATTCATTATGGTCAATCTGGTGGGACAAAAATGTGTGTACTCGGCGTAAAACTCAGGAGATTAACTCTTACATTCAGTGTCAATCCGGTAATTAAATGGCTTGGAATAAACAGAGTTTGTGTTAGGGATCAGAAAGGAGAGTTTAAAAGAAAGCAAGACCTACTGGTTCACCTAAGGGCCCTGGCAGTCCTGGGGTCCTATTGTCCTCCCCTGGATAACCCTGGAATGTAGCAAAATCACAATCACACATGGAGACATAATAGATTTTGCAACCTGACAGTGTGTTAAAGTAAGATAACACAAAAGGCCTCAACCACTGAAATAATTCAATTTAAAACACTAGTTTGAGTGTTATATTACCTTTTCACCTTTAGGCCCGGGTGGTCCAATGGGCCCAGACTTGCCAGGGTGACCCTGAAAAAAATGAACGCAGATTATAACCACAAAGCTGCCAAACTCTTTCTGGCTACAGCATGAAAGAAAAAAAAACATGAGCTTTGCTGTCAACATATTAATCAGAACTGTTTAATGTAAACAACACTCTTTGTAGAGCAGCTCTATCTGTCACTGAAGGATTTGGGCTTTGACACACACTCAGAAATCACACAGCAACCTGAGTCAAAGGGGTCTGAGAGCCTCCCTACACAACCGAACACCTCTACACACACAAAAAGACACTAAGTGAACTTGAGGTGCCCCGCTCAAGTAATGCAATCTAAACCCACTGATGTTGGCATCGAAGAAGGTGTGGAGTTGCTAGAGTTGTCCACGTTAAATTCAACCTCTGCTCTTTTATCTTGCCAATATTTGGGTATTTCTTTCCTGGTATTCCAATGAATCAGTTAAGAGTTATAGGAAATAAGAATAGCAGGCATGATGTTTACTTCACAAGACTCAAACCAGGATGTCTCGAGCACGTTTGGTTCATAGCGCACGGCTCCCAGGGGAGGCGAATATGATTGAACCCCCTTTTTGAGTTGACATCTGTATCTTAAGCATGTTTTTAAGTAGGCTTACGTTTAATGTATATCCTCAAACAGCTGTACTTTAATAGCTTTTTATAGATTGGAGAGGAATCCTGGATTTTGTATAAAATGTAGATAATTTAGTATTCCTCTTCTGTGACATGTAAATGTAAACATGGTGGGATTTGCTGAGCCTAGACTACAGACCACTCAGGGTTTACTATGCTGTTAGAACATGACAGTACATATGTAACATAACACCACAGATGGGAGATACTCACTGTGTATCCTGCCAGTCCTGGTTGCCCTTCTACCCCCATGGCTCCAGGCTGACCCTGGAAGCAATGCAGAAAATGTCCTTACAATAAGACCATACATCCATTTGTTCTGCTTTTTAGTTTTGCTGCGTCAGCTAAATACAACATTGCCCTTAAACAGTTACAAAGGCTATCAGTGCATGACATTAGTCCACAGACAAGTTTGTTTGTTTCAAATCTCGTTCCCTACGATGTAACACCTGTACTCACACAGCATGCCAGTTGCAGGCCATCAAACAGTAGCACTCTTTTTTTTAATAATATAAAACCATTAACAATACTTTGACTTCATTATTTGACCGCGAAAAAAGGATGAATACATGAGACAGGAAGAATGGAACTAACTGGTGTGCCTCGAGTTCCCCGTGCCCCTTTCAGCCCCGGCTCGCCTTGCTGGCCGATGTCTCCCCGAGAGCCAGTCTCACCGACAAGACCCAGAGGACCTCTCTCTCCCTGGAAATAGACAGATTGACATTTGGGGGTGAGAAACAGCACACTTAATTGTGGGTAAAAAAAGTAGTGGTCCTTACCTTCTTTCCGTGCCGCCCTCTGTTCCCTGGGGGCCCCAGTTTTCCCTCGGGCCCCTTGAGCAGGAGAAACATGAAATGATTATCATAGACTTGACAATCCATTCTATAATCAGAGGCATTGATAACTGCACATGATTTATAAAAACCCACCTGTAGATTCTGAAACTACATTATTTTTTAAAAAGACATTATGAGTGGACAACTTTCTACAGAGGTGAACAGCTTCACAATAACATTAAAAATGACTATAAGGTTTGTCAGCTTACACATTTATAAACTGTGTAATACTTCTTTCTCTGAGCTGTTTATATGTGTGCTCGGAAGGGGTCTAATCTCATGACACATGTGACCTTTACGCCCCTAAAGACCTTTAGATAGGATCTATATTTCAAATGAAAAGGTGAGTTTGACAGACCATTATCACACAGTGCTGAAACCACAATCTAAGACATTGTATTTTTTACTGCCGTTGTAGCAAAAAGGCTTTGTTGAAGAGAAGGCTGACCCCTACTGGGATAAAGAAGACACTATTTGGTTCAAAGCACTTTAGTCATCTGCTTTGTCAGTTGACGGGGGTCTTAACTCTTAAGGTGTGATTTATCTTGCTGTGAGGCATCAGCTGTATGCTCATAATCCATCAATCTGTGTTTGGGTCTAACATAAAAAACACAGTTGGGAACCAGAAGTACCCGTTCTGTGACTAACTGAAACTACCAGCTTTTTTCAGATATAGTTTTTGCTTCAAAAAGGGACATGAAATCATACATATCATTGTTAAAGCAAATCTGTCTTTTTTGAGTCAAACTGAATGATAATACAGACAGCAGTTTCTATTAATTAAGCCGCTCCCCCAGAGGAGCTGTATAGAAACATAAAATAAACGTACACGAAAGCCCTGTTTCCCAGGCCCTCCGGGTGGTCCTATGGGCCCAGGGTCTCCTTCTATTCCTTTTTCTCCTGGCTCTCCGATTGGCCCAGCCTCCCCAGGCTCACCCTGAAGGTGTAATCGTCACCAAAAAAGAGAGGTAGAGCAGGGGAAACTGAGTTAAAGACAGTTCAGTTATCATTTAGAAGGTTTAATAATACGAGGTTGATGGGTCATGCCTTACAGAAAGAAACACTTGTTATCATTTGCCACACTTGAAAACATGGGAAATGCATTTGTTTTTCTTCTTGATGACCTGAAGAAGGCATACTTTACTGAAAACTCCCATTTATTGTTGTAAAAACGCTGCTGAAACAAAACCATGACTCAGCTACATCTGGATTTCCAATAAAAAGGAGGGAAGTAAATGTATGAAAAAAAGGTCTTGTCAATCCTACCTTGGGTCCGTCTTTTCCTTGAGGGCCGTCTTCACCAGTGGGACCAGAAAGACCCTAAAAAAGAAAATCCCATTTATACAAAACCAAAAAAATGGATATCTCAACTGTGAGAACTGTTACTTTGTTATTTCCTCTGCAATGGTTAGTTCTATGAGTTTAGCACCTTAGTAAAAGGGACACTGTTCATGCAAAAAAGAACTGTTGCTTACGTGTTGCTTGCGTGTTAGCATCTCAAATCCAGGACAAATTCAAGTAGTAATAACAGCTAGTAATAAAGGCTAACTTGAGGAAATACATTTTCATTTTTTGTGTAAACCAACCTATTACAGATTGAGACTACAAAGTACACAAGTATAGAGCAGGGATACATTTCAATATCATCAATTTATGCAACTGTCAAAGTAATAATGGGGGATCATGTAAGAGTGTCAGAGTAACTTTACACCAGTCTTTCACTGCCCTCTGTGGTGGAAAGTTACAAGGCAGCTTTATATCTACTCACAGCTAATATTACTGATGGGCAATAAAATAAGTAATAAGATCATATAACATAATAAGTCTAATAAGACACATTTGGTTTAACATGTCAAATTGGTGGGGACCATTTATGACCTCGGCCATAGCAGTTATATTTCGGTATTGTTGAGTTTATTTGTCTCTCTGTCAGCAGGGTAACAGAAAAACTACGGACTAGTTTTTCAAAACTTGGTGGAAGGGTTTAACATGGGCTAAGGAGGAACACATTACAATTTGAAACAGCACCAAATCAAGGGGAAGATACACAAACTATTTCACACTTTTCTCAACATTGCAAGATAAGGCATTTGACCTTGGTGGAGGTCTGTGCTCTCTGTGAGCCCTCCAAGTATGTGATGCAAAAGAAAATAGCAAGGACACCTTGCTTGACGAACTACTCCGTCAAAGAACGTTGAATCTAATTATTTTTCAGAACAGTAAGATGAGACTCAGGAAGTCAAAGTGCTATATACAGTAAATATACAGTATATATATATATATATAAAGGCCATCAGACAAAAACAATCTCATTGCTCTCTTCGAGCCTGGGTTTACACATCTCCCTGAAAATGAGGGTGAATAAATATACTGCTGGGTTAAATGTACCCAAACACAAAGAAGGAAAGGATTAGTGGGTTGTTTGCAGTAACTCACTCTCAATCCCTCCGGCCCCTGCTCCCCTTCAGCTCCTGGAGGCCCGGCATCACCCTGCACGAACACAAAACACAACACAGGGCTGTCAAAACACATATGTGCCATCCTAGACTTTCACATTGAGGTTCATTGATACCTGAAGCTTAGTCAAAGTCAGACTGTCAGTTAGCTGTTGTTTCACGCCAAAGTACAAATTGAGAGGTCAAGGTCACAGCTTTTCACATTGCTGTAGGGTGGTTGGACTGAGGCTCAACATGACAAATGTTGTGGTGGAAGGGGGGGGGGGTTGCAAAAAATACTGACCTTTGACCCTGGCTCTCCGATGGCACCCGGTTCCCCCTCTGCACCAGGCACACCCTACCAAGATGACAAACAAAAAGGCATGAGTCATGTTTAATTTGTTCTGTATACATTGGAACTACAGTATAATACCCAATATCATGGACAAATAATTACAAAATGGTTAAGTACTTCAGGTCCTTGCTCTCCATCAGGTCCTTTCTCCCCAGCGGGTCCTTTGGGTCCCTGCAAAAAAGATTAACAATCATAAAATGCCTTGAGGGCACAATCCTAATGATAAAATCATACAGTAGATACAGTATATTTGAGAATTCCACACTAGTACATAATAATATACAACTCTAGCATATAATGGCTACGTTTATTAAAACAAGTAGTGCAAGGTTGAATGTTTAAGTCTGCAGAATAGGAACATCTGAGAGTTCAGAATGCTTGGACTGAAGACCAGCCAAAGGCAAGATGAGACGCATAACATAAACCATGCCTCTGGTGTTTTTGGAACCTTCTAACCTAATAAATATTTGTATCTGATTGTTTGACATTCTTGATGCCCTTGAGGGGTCGGCTAATTTCCAGGAATACATTTAAGTACTTGAAACCTAATCTCTAGGAAAGCACAAGTTATGGTGTTTTAAATTGTGAGGAACTCAGAGAGAATATTAGAATAAACAGAGACGAATACAAATAACTTCTTAACATTGGTGATTGTTAAGTGTTGGTTAAATAATTCAGAGCCTGACAGATTGTTTCACTGGAAACGTTGCTCAGAATAATGGTGTATTACAAATTACAGACAAGGTCATCAGAATGTGTGGTTTGTTTGCAGATTCCTGAAATGACCACATTAATGTAACAGTATCACTTACTGGTTCTCCGTGGGGTCCTGTCTCCCCGGAGTTGCCTGGAATACCAGCTTTTCCCTGGAAACATACACAGTTATGAGCTCAGTGTAGTTTCAGTAATTCCTTTTTGTATTCAAACAAAACAAGCATGAGAGTGCTTGGCTTTGGCTTCAGACCTTTTCTCGTCATTATCATCATTATAATTAGCAAGTTAACCACAGGCAAGCTTACTACGCCTAATCTTTCTGCGTGTTGCATGCAGACATGACACGGAAACTCCGTCATTCAACACAAACAGGTTGGCTTCCCTGCTTCATATTTTGTTGCCAAGTTATGACAAGACACCCTAAATTGAAACAGTGTTTGGTCCAACATTTGCAGAGACATTGACGGGTCTTTTCATGTGGGAGGTTGTGAAAGCTGGTTGTTATAATGTGCCAAAGTTTGATTAGATAAAAATGCTTCCACCAGCAGTATCACCCATTAGCCGTAGAATACATTGGTTAACAACTTCTTGTGAAACATTAAAACCTGTTCCATGATAATATAAACTCATAAAACATATGTTGCTGAGTCAATATGACTGAAAAGAAAAAGAAAATATCTCAAACGTCTCATCTGTTTTAAAAAAAAGGTCTTATAAAGAGTGAAGCAGAATCAACTGAACAAAAAGGGAAAATAAAGAAGCGGAAAAATCTTAAACTGTTCTCACATCTCACATATTGTGTATTGAGCCAGCGAGAGTTTATTGTCAAAGAAAATTGTTTTAAAAGTATTTTTTAGGAAAACAAGAAGATGTATGTAAAACGTATCAATGATGAACATATGAGGAATAATGTATGATACATTGATGATTGAGGCAGATTTGATCAGACACAAGATGGCGCTGTGAGTCAAGAGGTGGACAACAGAAGTGCCCTCTCTACTGTATCTGCATCAACTGTATCGCCTGAGGAAGTAGATATACAATATGTTTGTCCAATCAGTGAGGTTAATGATCCTCCTCAGAAAATGCTGAGGATGGGGGGATTCATTTTAACATCAGCAGCATGTGATCAGGAGGACAGGTCTCAACGAACTCCAGGTATGTGTGGAAGTCCATGTGGAAGTCCAGAAGGCTATATCTGAGTGTGAGACAACAGGTCTGCACGTGTCTATGTCGGTCTTTGTTCCTCTGATAAGACTAATTACAAACAACCCCGAAGTGTCAAATGTTATTCGTATATAAGTCAGGAAGTTATTTGTCAGTGGACAAACAAATAACAAAGATAAACGACTGAGTCCAACAACGATTACTCATGCAGGTGTTAGGGCTTTTTTTTCTAACTGGAAACCTTCCTTTGTAATTCCTGCCATAAATGGATGAAAGAAACATGTTTGAATATAATGACCATCATTTAAGAATTAGACAGTCCATTTGGATCTGCTTTTGTGCTTTGATTTGTTTTTGTTTGCACATTTTGACCATCTGTGGAACATCCGTTATTTCATCCTTCTGCACTTCAAACGCATATAAAACTACTATCCATCATTTGTTTTATAGTAAGAACAGAACAAAACAAGAGTCTGCTGGCAAAATCCTGCTTTTAAGCTGCCAAAAGTCTGTCTGTTGTGTGGCACTAGAAACAGACATTATAATCAGTGTGTGTCCTACATAGTATTCCTAGCAGCTGAAAATACTAAACTTCTCCGCTGGGATAGTTAAAGTCTCGTTAAAGTGGAGCCTGACCATTAAATCAGTGGGATGAAATCATTGACCATTATGAGCTGGATACATTGGTGGGGACGTACATGTCAGCAGGATAAATAACAAGAAATGACAGTTTATAGATGTCAAAAATATGTTTGTGGTCATTTGCCTGAACGGTTTAGTCATTACATTATGTGTCCACCAGAGAGCACTGCCAAGTGCACATTTAAACTCTACATTGTCCTGCTCCATACTGTACATGGTCACAATTACTTCATTAAAAACCATAAAACCAATCATCCATTATGTTGAAAATTACTCATTATTTCTTAAATACACAGGCAGGAAACGCAGCCAAGTTTCATTGACGATTGGTGATTAGTACTGCTGAACAAAACCTAATACGTCAAGTCAAGTCATTTTTTCTATATTGCCTAATATCACAAATAACAGATTTGCCTGATAGGGGCTTTACGATCTGTACAGAATTAGACACCCTGTGTATTTTTCAAACCTCACTTGGATAAGTAAAACCCCCAAACCGCATTAACCTCTCCCGGGATGGAGAGAAGCACACCAACACACTACAGTTGGATATGGGTGAATACATGGACATGTGTTTTGATTATGAGCCTGAAAACTGTGCTCGATTTCTCCTTTTAAAGATGACAACTTCTTCTTGGGTGACTTTATAGGTGCACACGCTTTAGAAGGTATAATTATATATATTACAGGTGAAAGAGGATGTGGAAATGTTTTACAAGTGCTTCTAGCTAAAGTGAAGAGGATAATTAAGGTTCTGAAAGAGACATTGAGCCGGCAGCTTCAGTTAAGCATTACTTACATTCTTCCCAGGAGGGCCTCTCTCCCCTGGACTGCCAGCCTTGCCCTTCAAAGGAGAAAACAATTATTTAAAAAATGATTGAGATGCAGTCAATCAACCCAAATTATTTTAATTTATTTTGAGAGAAATAATGGCAACATATTCATCCTCCTTGTCTAATTGTTCAGTTTGTGTGTTCTGGGTTTGTTATGGCTCTGACTTGTTTTATGGAAACACATGTTCTTGTTTATTGCATTGCTAAGAAAGCAGATCCATAAGGGTTTTCCAGATTGATGTCTGTTGAAACTTCTAAATAATCTCATACATGTCTCTGAAAAGTAAACGATTGTAACATAAGATTTTGTATACAGTAGAATTGTAAAGATGCTATGAAGCAATGTTTGATGTTTGATTGGGATCTTTGAGCAACATTCTCTGTTTAAAATCAAAGGTGATGGACGTAAATTAGAAATATCCTTTTCCATCAACTTCACTCAACCTAAATGAAAATGACCAACAGAGGCATTGCAAGAATACAAATACATCCTACAGATTAACCTCATATTTCCTCCCAACAAGCGGGCAGCGGCACATAACTCCATTTGGGTTTAACCTGATACAGAGGCAAGAAGACAAAGGCCTATTGTGCAAATAAAAACTGATTAAAGGCTCATCAAGCTTTAACAGAGGCCCGAGGGTAAAGCTGGATGTGGAAACATCTCTTTCAGGAAGTGGATGTGCATCTTTAAAAAGGGATGTGCGTGTTAACCTAGATGCTTCAGGATGATGATGTTTTTACAACAATGATTATTCTTGGCTTCTGATGAATGAGGGCAAATCCAAATAAGCTTTCTCATTTCACAAGAGCCCGAAGCGTTCATCCAGAAATGTATTATGCATAACACGTTTATAGCATTATAACCATTCACCATGTTCAACTTAAGTATTTATAATACATTGAGTAAACTATGTAGCCTCTTATTTACTGGCTTTTGGCATTTCCCTTACACACGCTAATATAAGATTAAAGACAATAATTAAAAGACTACTTACGATGAATCCTGGCTCTCCTTTTGTTCCAATGTCACCCCTCTCACCCTGCAAAGAAAAAGCATGCTACATTGTGGAAGGTATTATGAATAAAAGGGACAAATTATATAAACCAATCATATTATATGAAAAGTTATTTCACAAAAGCAGTTTTCTTAAAATTGGACCGATAATTCCAGCGGAGGATACACACATGTTTCAAACAAAAGTACAACATCTTTATTTATAAATAAAATGTATTACATCTCATTCATTTTCACATTTACATGCTGATGTTTCCAAGAGGGTGGTGTGTAGGTTTACCTTGGTGCCCTCAGGGCCTGGTTCTCCGAGTGGGCCATCTGGACCCCGGGGCCCCTATGTGACAGCAACATGAGACACACCTTTGAATATCACTCAACAAAGAATGAGCAATACAGGAACACAATAACCATCAAAGCATCATACAAAAGTCGCCATATAGTTAACTCCAACAACAAAGTAATTAGTCCTGTATTTATCTACTTGGGGGGGGGGGGGG